ATAAAAGGGGAGACTAACAGAACACAATCATGGTAGGGGACATTAACACCCCACTTTCACCAATGGACTGATTATCCAAATTGAAAATAAATAAGGAAACAAGCTTTAAATGATACATTAAACAAGATGGACTTAATTGATATTTATGTCATTCCACTCAAAACAACAGAATACAATTTCTTCTCAAGTGTTCATGGAACATTCTCCAGGATAGATCATGTCTTGGGCCACAAATCAAGCCTTGGTAAATTTAAGAAAATAGAAATCATATCAAGTATCTTTTCTGACCACAGCACTATGAGATTAGATATCAATTACAGGGAAAAAAATCTGTAAAAAAATACAAACACATGGAGGCTAAACAATACACTACTGAATAACCAAGAGACCACTGAAGAAATCAAAGAATAAATCAAAAAACACCTAGAGACAAATGATAATGAAAACATGACTACCCAAAACCTATGGCATGCAGCAAAAGTGGTTCTAAGAGGGAAGTTTATAGCAGTACAATCCTACCTCAAGAAACAAGAAACATCTCAAATAAACAACCTAACCTTATACCTAAAGCAATTATAGAAAGAAGAACAAAAACCCTCAAAGTTAGAAGAAGGAAAGAAATCATAAAGATCAGATCAGAAATAAAGGAAAAAGAAATGAAGGACATCATAGCAAAGATCAATAAAACTAAAAGCTGGTTCTTTGAGAAGATAAACAAAATTGATAAACCATTAGCCAGACTCATCAAGAAAAAAGGGAGAAGACTGAAACCAACAGAATTAGAAATGAAACAGGAGAAGTAACAAGTGACACTGCAGACATACAAAGGACCATGAGAGATTACTACAAGCAACTCTATGCCAATAAAATGGACAACCTGGAAGAAATGGACAAATTCATAGGAAAGCACAACCTTCCGAGACTGAAAAAGGAAGAAATATCAAATATAAACAGACCAATCACAAGCACTGTAATTGAGACTGTGGTTAAAAATCTTCCAACAAACAAAAGCCCAGGACCAGATGGCTTCACAGGCGAATTCTATCAAACATTTAGAGAAGAGCTAACACCTATCCTTCTCAAACTCTTCCAAAATATAGCAGAGGGAGGAACACTCCCAAACTCATTCTACAAGGCCACCATCACCCTGATACCAAAAGCAGACAAAGACGCGACAAAAAAAAAGAAAACTACAGGCCAATATCACTGATGAACATGGATGCAAAAATCCTCAACAAAATACTAGCAAACAGAACCCAACAGCACATTAAAAGGATCACACACCATGATTAAGTGGGGTGTACCCCAGGAATGCAAGGATTCTTCAAAATAAGCAAATCAATCAATGTGATACACCATATTAAAAAACTGAAGGAGAAAAACAATATGATCATCTCAATAGACGCAGAAAAAGCTTTAGACAAAATTCAACACCCATTTATGATAAAAACCCTCCAGAAAGTAGGCAGAGAGGGAACTTACCTCAACATAATAAAGGCCATATATGACAAACCCACAGCCAACATCGTTCTGAATGGTGAAAAACTGAAACCATTTACACTAAGATCAGGAACAAGACAAGGTTGCCCACTCTCACCACTATTATTCAACATAGTTTTGGAAGTTTTAGCCATGGCAATCAGAGAAGAAAAAGAAATAAAAGGAATTCAAATTGGAAAAGAAGAAGTAAAGCTGTCACTGTTTGCAGATGACATGATACTATACATAGAGAATCCTAAAGATGCTACCAGAAAACTACTAGAGCTAATCAATGAATATGGTAAAGTAGCAGGATACAAAAGTAATGCACAGAAATCTCTTGCATTCCTATACACTAATGATGAAAAATCTGAAAGAGAAATTAAGGAAACATTCCCATTTACCACTGCAACAAAAAGAATAAAATACCTAGGGATAAACCTACCTAGTGAGACAAAAGACCTGTATGCAGAAAACTATAAGGCACTGATGAAAGACATTAAAGACAATACAAATACATGGAGAGATATATCATATTCTTGGATTGGAAGAATCAACATTGTGAAAATGACTATACTACCAAAAGCAATCTACAGATTCCATGCAATCCCTACCAAACTACCAATGGCATTTTTCACAGAACTAGAACAATAAATTTCACAATTTGTATGGAAACACAAAATACCCCGAATATCCAAAACAATCTTCAGAAAGAAAAACAGAGCTGAAGGAATCAGGCTCCCTGACTTCAGACTATACTACAAAGCTACAGTAATCAATGACAAAGCTACAGTAATCAAGATAGTATGGTACTGGGTACAAACAGAAATATAGATCTAGGGAACAGAATAGAAAGCACAGAGATAAACCGATGTGCATGTGGTCACCTTATCTTTGATAAAGGAGGCAAGAATATAGAATGGAGAAAAGACAGCCTCTTCAATAAGTGGTGCTGGGAAAACTGGACAGCTAAATTAATTTCTAAACAGTGAAATTAGAACACTCCCTAACACCATACACAAAAATAAACTCAAAATGGATTAAAGACCTAAATGTAAGGCCAGACACTATAAAACTCTTAGAGGAAAACATAGGCAGAACACTCTATGACATAAATCACAGCAAGATCCTTTTTGACCCACCTCCTAGAGTAATGGAAATAAAAACAAAAATATACAAATGGGACCTGAGGAAACTTGAAAGCTTTTGCACAGCAAAGGAAATCATAAACAGGATGAAAAGACAACCTTCAGAATGGGAGAAAATATTTGCAAACGAAGCAAGTGACAAAGGATTAATCTCCAAAATATACAAGCAGCTCAATATCAAAAAAACAAACAACCCAATCCAAAAATGGGCAGAAGACCTAAATAGACATTTCTCCAAAGAAGATATACAGACTGCCAACAAACACATTAAAGGATGCTCAACATCACTAATCATTAGAGAAATGCAAATCAAAACCACAAGTGGTATCACCTCACACCGGTCAGAATGGCCATCTTCAAAAAATCTACCAACAATAAATGCAGAAGACAGTGTGGAGAAAAGGGAACCCTCTTGCACTGCTGGTGGGAATGTGAATTGATACAGCCACTATGGAGAACAGTATGGAGGTTCCTCTAAAAACTAAAAATAGAACTACCATATGACCCAGTAATCCCATTACTGGGCATATACCCTGAGAAAACCATAATTCAAAAAGAGTCATGTACCACCTTGTTCATTGAAGCACTATTTACAATAGCCAGCACATGGAAGCAATGTAAGTGTCCATCGACAGATGAATGGATAAAGAAGATGTGGCACATATATACAATGGAGTATTACTCAGCATTAAAAAGAAGTGAAAGTGAGTTATTTGTAGTGAGGTGGTTGGACCTAGAGTCTGTCATACAGAGTGAAGTAAGTCAGAAAGAGAAAAACAAATATTGTATGCAAACACATATATATGGAATCTAAAAAAAAAAACAAAAAGGTTCTGAAGAACCTAGGGGCAGGACAGGAATAAAGATGCAGACATAGAGAATGGACTTGAGGACATGGGGAGGCGGAGAGGTAAGCTGGGACGAAGTGAGAGAGTGGCATGGACATATATACACTACCAAACGTAAAATAGCTAGTGGGAAGCAGCCGCATAGCACAGGGAGATCAGCTCGGTGCTTTGTGACCACCTAGAGGGGTGGGATAGGGTGGGAGGGAGGGAGATGGAAGAGGGAGGAGATATGGGGATATATGTATATGTGTAGCTGATTCACTTCATTATAAAGCAGAAACTAACACACCATGGTAAAGCAATTATACTCCAATAAAGATGTTAAAATAAATAAATTAATTAAATAAAAATAAATTAAAAAAAGAAAATGGGCAAAAGATATGAAGAGATGTTTCATCAAAGAGGATATACAAATGCAAATAAGCATGTGAAAAGGTGTTCAACTTCATTAGCTATCAGGAAGATGAAAATTAATACCACAATGAGATAGCACTCCACACCTATCAGAATGACCAAAATAAAATACAGTAACAACGAATGTTAGTGACAATACATAGAAACTGGATCACTTATATATTGCTGGTGGGAATGTAGAATGCAACAGCCACCCTGGAAAATTGTTTGGCAGCCTCTTAATTAAAACTAAGCTACACATATAATTACAATACGGTGAAACAGTTGCACTCCTAGGCATTATCCCAGAGAAATGAAAACTTATGTTCACAGAAGAACCTATACATGAATGTTCATAGCAGCCTTTTTTGGTAACAGTCAAAAAATGGAAAGAATGCAGATGTTTTTCAATGTGTGACTTGTTAAACAAAGTGTGGTACATCCATACCACGGAATACAACGCAGCAATAAAAAGGAAAGAGCTACTGATACATGCAACTACTCTGACGAATCTCCAGGGAATAACCCTGAGTGAAAAAAGCCAGTCCTCATATACATACTTTATAATTCCATTTATATAACATTTCCAAAATGAAAAGTATTTAGAGATGGAGAACAGATTAGTGGTTGTCAGGGGTTAGGAAGATGTTGGGGGAGGGAAGGAATGTGGCTATAGAAGGATAACAGAAATGGTCCTCATGGTGACCTGAATGTTCTGTATCTTGTCTGTATGAACGTCACTTTCCTGTGATATCGTACTGTAGTTTTGTAATATGTTAACATTGAGGGAAACAGGTAAAATACACATGATCTCTTTCTACATTATCTCTTACAAATTCATGTGAATGCTCAATGATCTCAAAATCCAACATTTAACTAAAAAACAAACATGATGGTCTAAATGCAACACCATGGAGACATTATCTAGTAATTTAAAGTATCCCTCCCACAAGCCAATGGAACCTACCAATATACTCCCTTTTCTACTCTGATGATCCCTGTCTTGAGAGCACAAAGGACTGTTTAGTAAGTCAATGTGAAAAATGATAAGAATTTTCACAATCCGTGATAGATTTTTGCACAGAGTAATACCCATATGAGCAGAGCAACGGTGCTCTGTCATTTATTGTACCTTTGATCTCCCTGTCCTGTTCTTCCACCCTGGAGCAGACAGTCCTCGTCAGACTCTCCACAACTGTGTGCATCAGGTCAAATTCGGCGACATTGTACACATGAGTGCTGTCTGGTTCAGAGGCGATCTCCTGCAATTCATTCTCATCCGCGTTTTTCACCCCTGGCATTGAGGACAACAGGGAGGGTCATGACGGTCATGCCCCGTTTGAAAAAGCAACTGCAGTGACCCCGACCTGCACCGCAACCAAAGCCCCTGTACTTTAAAGAGGCACATCTCATGTCAGATTGGTTTTTTTGTTTTTGTTTTTTTTTGGCACGCGGGCCTCTCACTGCTGTGGCCTCTCCCGTTGCGGAGCACAGGCTCCGGACACGCAGGCCCAGCGGCCATGGCTCACGGGCCCAGCCACTCCGCGGCATGCGGGATCTTCCCGGACCGGGGCGTGAACCCGTGTCCCCTGCATTGGCAGGCAGACTCCCAACCACTGCACCACCAGGGAAGCCCAGATTGTTTTTTAAATTCCCTTTCAAAGTCATTTTTATTTTATTTTTAAATTTTTATTATTTTTTGGCCTCACCGCTCGGCATTTGGGATCTTAGTTCCCCAACCAAGGATTGAACCTGTACTCGCTGCAGTGGAAGGGCTCGTCCTAACCACTGGACCACCAGGGAATTCCCTCAAAATCACCTTTAAATGATTAAGTCTTAATTTTGTTCAGTACATATTAAAGGACGATGTATTGATGAAACTAACTTCTGTCTTTCATAAATATTGCAGAAGCAATAGTAATTAAACCAGTTCTCTACACTATCCGAACTTCACGTTTAATGTTTTATAAAATTAGTTTACTTAAATTGAGACAGAAAATCCTTGGCCCTCTTGGAATTTTCTAATCTATCTTAGCCATGGATACTAACAATTAGAGTGTGCTTACTATGCCCCAAGCACTTCAATGTTTTCTATATATCAACACATTTAATCTTCACAACCAATCCTATGAGTCTGGCATTACTGTTTCTCCCATTTAACAGATGACTAAGCTGATGCGCAGAGAGGTTGATTCACTTGCTCAAGGAAGCACAACCAGTAAGTATACAGCTGGGGTTTCACCCAGGCAGTCTAGATCCAAAGTCATATGCTCTTAACTACTATCTCAAGCTGCCTCTCAGAAGATTACACATTAAAATGAGTAAATATTTACCAGTGAAATTAGAAATAGAAAAAGGGAGGCACAGGATTGGGTTTCATGGGTGTAAAGGTAGATTTCTCTTCCCCAGGCTTCAGTAAACAAGGAGCATTTCGTTAAAAATCCCAGTCATTGTCATTATCTAAGGATGTTAAAAAGAGGTACTATGGAAGCAACGAAGAGAGATTACCTGGGGCAACATTAATTACTTCTTAGGTGCCCAGCTGTGCTATTTAATTTATCTGCCAACCTCAACAGATTGAGTAACAAAGCATCGGTTGTTTCTGAACTATTTGCTTTAGGGGCTTATAAGATGATAAATACTACTGATTTCCAGGTAATTCCCAGAGAAAAAGTCCAAATCACATCTGAATGAGTTCACTTAAACGCATCCATTCATCATTGACGAGACCACAGAATGGAGAGTAAACACATAAATTAATCCCTTATTAGCGGAAGTCTTCTGCAGGGATTTTCTTTGTTGAGCAAAAGGATAGCAAAATAAAAAATAAAAATTAAATCAATCTCTCTAATGTTCCTTGTCTGACGGACCTCTACAATAGCTTTTAAAATGCATAGCTGGATCTGTGTCCACAATAGCAAAATAACAGTGCATGCTGAAGCAATGAGCTTAATGTCAATAATACTTTTCATGGCATTTAGTTAAAACCAACAAGTTTGGATCATTTAAGAATATTCTAGAGAAGATAAACCCCAAATCTCTCTTTCTCTCTCACCTTTCCAAACAAAACAGTCTGTTGTAAAGAGCACAGAAAAGTGAGGAAATGGTAATCATGACTTGGATGGAATTTGTTTTGTAAGGATTTTGCCTTGTTCATATTTATGCTCCAGCACCCACCAAAATGCCTGCCACCCAGCAAAGAAGCAAATACTTCTCGAATGAAACATTCTATAAACCACATTTTGAGCAACAAATCTAGAAACCAGTCAGAGGAATTGTCTCTATTTTTCTTTTTTTTTGGTCAGTCTCTACTAAATAGAAGGCCTTCCTATCGCCAAAGAAAATGTAAATAATTTAATCAAGAGCAAAATTGCATCAACTAAATATTTTGCAGTTATTCTGAGTGTGTGTCATACATATTCTTCCCACAAACCGATACCTTATAAAGGGTTATTTTCGAAGAAATAATACTGCATATCTACAATTCTTTGCTTTCTTAACTACAAGACCTTAATTCCTTGAAAATGATAAATTGGTTTCTCTTTACACTATCAGAGAAGAGATAGCTATAAAGTGATACTAAAGAGAAAAGTCTTGACTAATTAAATGGTAATAAATATGTACCTAACCTTTGCACTTTATGCTTTTCACAACATTTTGTGTGTGGTATCTCAGCTAGAGATCCTCACACCATAAGATCCATCAGTTCCATCACTTCCATTTTTAATGTAAGGAAGTTGGGCTCAGATCAAATGACTGGCTATGACTAGAGCTAAGGGGGGAAAAGGCCGGGGGGAGGCAGAGGGATAAATTGGGAGATTGGGATTGACATATACACACTACTATCTATAATATAGGTAATTAATAAGGACCTACTATAGAGCACAGGGAACTCTACTCAATATTCTGTAATGACCTATATGGGAAAAGAATCTAAAAAAGAGTGGATATATGTACTTGTATAACTGATTCATTTTGCTGTACAGCAGAAACTAACACAACATTGTAAATCAACTATACTCCAATAAACAAAAAAAAGACTTGAAAGTGTTCAGGTCTCCTGGCTTTCAGTGGAGCGTACTTTGCATCATATATAGTTTTAAGTGGTTGTGTGTGTGTGTCCATTGTTGAAACAGGACCATAATTAACAAATACCTATGGCAAACAGTTCTACACCAGATTCACGAAGGTTTCTGGATGGTGGAATAATATCATCTTGGGATTTTCCATCTGTGATTAAAATGCCAATTTTGGACACTCCAGTCCTCGCTCCTGCTTCTGGTTTAAAGCTGTTTTCAAAGACATAGTTCAAAGCAAGACCTAGAAGAAAACAAGAAAAAATAAATACAAACCAACTATCTCTAATAAAAAGCCTTCCAATTCTGCAAAATGTAACCACAAGATGAGTAACTTAGAAAGTTAAAAGAGTTTTTATTAGATGTGCACTTTCATCTTCATTTTAAAAATAAACGATTCTTTGACAGAGCCGATGAAAAACTAAAATCCACCAAAACAGAGGTAAGAAAAAATAGCTGAATAGTGCATCATTTCAGAAACTAACATTCATAAAGAACATTGAATTCATATCAAATGTATATTGACAGATCTGTGTACAAGAAAATCTAAACCTTTATAATTAAGGATGAAGCAAGAATACTCACACAGAAGCAAATGTCCCAAATATCATCACTACATTTTCAATTTTGTTCATGATGATCTAAAAGAACCCACAAATTCTCTTTCTCTGTTTTATAGAGGTAGAAGGGGCAGATCTAAAATGATAGTTGAACTCCTGCCTTTTGAGTGTGACACTTTTCACCCAGAAAAAATAAACACCAAATATTGTTATAGGATTTGTGCTCAATAAAGTTTTGTTGTATTAACAAAAAACTTGTTAGATGAAACCACCAGTTGGCAAAGCAATTATCAGGATTTCAGTGGTTTACTTAAAATTCAATGACAGCATCTCTATTATTTAAACTGAGCATCCACATTGTGGGCCCACAGAAGGAAATAGCATGTATTAGAGTTAAAACCTGTGATAACCTTTTGTGGTTGGGTCATGGATAATTGTAATCTAAATATTCTTACATTACAGTTGTTCCTTGGCATACACAGGGTGATTGGTTCTAGGACCCCCTGTGACACCCAAATCCATGGATACTCATGTCTCTCATATAAAATGGAGTAGTATTTGCATACAACCAACGTGCATCCTCCCGGATACTTTAAGTCATCCCTAGATTACTTATAATACCTAATACAATGTAAATTGCCTGTAAAGAGTTACCAGCATGCGACAAATTTAAGTTTTGCTTTGGGTTAATTTCTGGAATTTTTTTCCAAATATTTCTGATCCCTGGTTGGTTGAATCTGCAGATGCTAAGGGCCGATTGTACTAATTTATCAAAAATATTGGTGAGCCAAAGCTCCATAAATATTTCCATGATAACTACTGATTGCAGAATAAGGGTAAAGAAAATATCTTCCTTGAAATTTGGTAGAAACCTGTTTTTATTTAATTGACAGCATGACTGGAGGAAGAACAGGTGAAGAGGAAGAAAAATGAACTGACAAAGGTTAAGACAGCTACTAAAGCCTGCCAGTGTCAGGGACTGCTCGGTTCTCTTCTAGTTCAACCAAGCCCTTCCTGGGACATTATATTCATATAGCAAAAGGGATGAGATGTCTAGGTTTTAACTCTTAATGCTAGGTTTGAGAAAAGAGCCATCTAAGAACTTTATATGCTGGTTTGGTTTAAAAATACTATGCTAAGACATGCAAAGTGGCAAAACAAAGTAATAAGACTATTCTTCAGCAAGATATGTTGCTAAAAATGTGGACTAAACAAAAACATACCTGTTAGTGTATTTCCTCCCTTGTACGGTAGATTTCGGACAGCTTCGATCACCTCATCTTTTGTGTTAAAAGCATTCAAGTGCCATTCTATTCTGGGGTCGCCGCTATACTGTGCAAGACCTGGAAAAGAAAGATGAGAAAGCCCACCCAGAAATGATGGGTTACTCAAAGATCTAGTGGACCATTCAAGAAACTAGAATGACGAAGGGCCTAATCTTTGCAACATTTTTTTCTCTGCCTCACTATGTACTTTCAAAATGAGTTCTTGACATCAATTTAAGGAATTTTCAACATAGCTGGGGGCTGAAGGAATGTATATATTTTCTAGCCATCTAGAAGTGAGCACCCAATCAGGTACTTAGCGTTTTCTTTTAAAGTCTGATCATGTTTGTAGATAAAAGGTCTAGATTTATTTAATTTTTTTTATTGAGGTAACATTGGTATATAACATTATGCCAGCTTCATGTGGACAACATTATATTTTGACTTCTATATACATTATAGTGTTTGTTTTTGGTTTTTATTTCCAAAGGAATGAGTTTTCTTTATGGCTACTTAGAAGGGAAACTAGGAGACTTTATATAATAAAATGGATATGTTGCTCAATGATTTACACCTTTTTTTTTGCTTTTTATCTCAGCTAGAATTAATTTGGCAAAGATTATCTTGTACTATAAAACATTTCCCAATTGCTAAACATTTCACTGGATTCAGCTGTGTTTTCTTTTAAATAAAAAGAAAACTTTTACCTGATAAATTCTTAAACAAATGGCAACCTTAAAATTATTATTATTATTAGGCAGAGAAGATTTTGGCTTCCCAGATAATTGAAATGTGTTCAATAATTAATTGAGTGACACTGTCATTAGCAAAAATTAGTAGAAATAAAAATTTGTTGATGCAAAGTTGCCCTTTTGGGAATATCACTATTGTTAAACCTGTAATTCTGAAAACCATTTGGTAAAGAATCTTTGAAATTTCTTAAGAAGCTTCCTGGTGGTTTTACACTGGCAGCAGACTTCTGTTAATGGTAGAAGAGTACCAATTCGTGTCTTCTCGGAGCCCACGTCGAATGCTGTAACGAGGTTTTCCAAAAAAGACCGAACCAGTCTGAAGTTGAATCTTCCAATACTCCATGAGCCATCAACCAGGATTACAATGTCAGCAACAGCTGGAGTTTGACAGAAAAATTTCACTTCTGCAAAGTACAGACCCAAAAAGTATCTGTGTTACTGTTGGAACTTTTAAAAGAGTGAGTTTATTTTAAGTCTTTCAGATAATTTGGTGCTAAGAATACAATAAAGTTTCCATTAAAGCAACCATATTTTTATAACCGTTCTTTTAAATGCATTTTTACCAGGAAAAAAAAATGTGGTAACAGCTGGCAGCGGAGTCAATGTGCTGGAAATAGCAAAACACTGGCAGGTTCACACCATCTTGGCAACTCAAGCCTTCTGCATGGTTTAAAAAGTAGTGTCTGTGCAAAAGCATCCAGTTTGGGGTTTTAGTCTATAGCTTCTTTCCAGGAAAGGTCTTAGCAACACCCGTGTAGGAGAGTCAACAGGGATGGGAAGATAGCCAGGAAGCAGAGAGGCGGCTCTCCCATTCTGATAAGTCTATGCTAGAGGAAGTCAGTCATAAGAGAAGAAAACACGGGTTTCCTGAATTCAAGGAAAAGGCAGGGCCATGCATTTAATCTATGAAAGGTACACAGACCTTTGCTAAAATAGGAAGGGTTTGTGGAAGAAGAAAACTGGAAAAGAGCCCAAGAATTTCCCCCAATTCAAATCTTTTTACATATTGTGTCTATGTGACAGTAAGATTTTATCGCTAAAAATCATTTAAGTAATTGATTTTTTAAATTAAGTTTCAGAATAAGGATCTAGAAAAGGATGCCTGGTGGCTGGAGTGGCACTACCTTAAGCTTTGCCCTCAGGGAAAGTCCTAGCCCACAGTGATTGCAGGCAAGACAGCGATAAAGGGGGTAGGGTAGGTCTGTGCTGGATGAGGTGAAAACCACCACTTACATTCACACAGAGCCAGAATACTAGAATATTCTTAATGGGTTTAAGAATCCTTAAAAATGTCACAGTATTGTCAGCATCTTTACCAGCAGTGCTTTTTACTGCAGTTTGTGCTTCCCAAAGGATGGCTTCACTTTGCTGAATTTTCATATTAGGACTGGAGATCAGGAATATTGTGTATGTATATGTGTCCATGCCAACTTCTTGAAATGCCCAGCAAATCCCTACTTTGCTTTCTAACATTAAAATGACAATAAAACAGAATTTAAAATATAAATTATGTAGTTGAAAGCAAAATAAAGAAGTGTTCATAAATAAATGGAATATATTTTTTCCTGGGGGGGGTTGGGAAATAGTTGAACTACTATGTTTAATATATATCTCAGTTTAATATATATCTCTGTACCTACTGGCCACATTTAGTTAAAACGATCTTGGATCTTGGTTTTTTTTCACATTCATGGAATACCTAGATCCTTTTACCAGATGGGGAAAAAGTGTATTTGCCAAGGAAATACTCAGACACTCATATGTAAGCTAAACAATACAGCTCAATCCAAAGTTTATATATTACATTTTTGGGCACCAAATCTCCCTTCTTTAATGACCAAATACAAAGCCACCACTAAGTTAGGAGTCAGCCCTCTGTACCACACTAAAAAGTTCTAAAACAGAACAATGCAAGAAGTCATGGGGAAGAAATTAGTTTGTGCTTTGGAAATAATCAGGGAAAATTAAAGTCTTAAGAAGCTTTAAGAATCTATTTCTCTCAATTTTTATGGGGAAACTTACCTGAAATGAAAAGTAGTTTTCTTTTTCTTCCAAAACTATTGGGGATATTATTTCACTTTTTAATTTAAAATTTTTTAATTGTTTGGATACACTGCAGACAGGGTCTTAGAAAGGAAGCAGTTTCTCTTTGCTTACTTAGAAGAGGGATATGAAAACTGGTATTTTCCATTTCAAAATTGTTTCCAATAAAAATATTCTGTTAACTTAGCTCATTCAAGTCATTTTGACTTGGAGATAAAAATTCTAGATATCTCCGAAGTAAGATAGAAAATTAATTGAATAGAAATTAGAATACTGATAAATTTAGTGATATTAAATTTTTTTAAGTTGTTCATCAAAAGACACCTTAAATAAAATAAAAAGATAAGCTATGATTGGTAGAAGACATGTACAATATAAAAAACTGAAAAAGGATCAGCATCAAGAATATATAAATACATAAAAAACCATGAATAGATACTTCAGAGAATAGGAAATATATAATATGGTTAATAAATGAATGAAGAGAATGTTTAACTACGTTGGTGATCACAATAATAAAAAAATCAAGATCATGATGACGTACAATTGTACTCATTCAACTGGAAAAAAATTAATTTAATAGCATTTATGATTACTCTAAAGATAATGAAATGTTTAGGTATATACTTAAAACATGTGCAAGATCTGTGTGCTGCAAATTACATTACTGATAGAAGTCAAAGAAGACATAAATCAATGGAGAAGGCTACCATATTTATGGACAGGAAGACTAAACGTAGTAGAAATGTCAATTATCCCCAAATTGATCTATAGGTTTAATGCAATTCCTATCAAAATCCCAGAAAGGTTTTCTTAAGACATAGACAAGCTTATTCTAAAATTTATATGGGAAGGCATAGACCCCAGAATAGTTTTTTAAAAAGTCATGTCAAAGAAGAATAACATGGAAGGAATCATTTTACTGGGTATTCACCCTACTTACTGTACATAAGTAATGGGTATTTCAGAGGGTTAGATACACCCATCAATGAAAAAGAATAGAAAAGCCAAAATAGACCCATACAAATATGCTCAACTATATGATTTTATACCTAAATATTTTAGACAAATGTTCAAAAGTACTTCAACAGATGGTGTGAGAGCAACTGGATATCCATGAAAGAAAGAAGAAAGAAAGGAAGGAAGGAAGGAAGGAAGAAAAGAAAGAAAGAGAGAGAGAGAGAGAGAGGGAGGGAGGGAGGGAGGGAGGGAGGAAGGAAGGAAGGAAAGAAGGAAGGAGGAAAGAAAGAAAGAAAGAAAGAAACTTGACCTAAACCCTATACTTTATACCAAAATTAATTCAAAGTGGATCATCAACTTACATGTAAAAAGTAAAATTATAGAGCTTTTAGGAAAAAAGTAGAAGAAAATCTTTGGAGTGTAGGTCTAGAAGAGTTCGTGGAGTCGACACCAAAAGTACAAACACATAAAAAGAAAGTTTGATAAACTGTACTTCATCAAAATAAAATACTTTTGCTATGTGAAAGCTCATATGAAGAAGATGAAAAGACAAGCTATAGACTGGGAGAAAGTATTTGCAAACCACACACTCAGCAAAGGATTAGTATCTAGGTTACATAAAGAACTCTCAAAACTCACAAGTAAATAAAACCAAACAATCCAATTAGAAAATGGGTAAAACCTGAACAAATATTTCATCATAGAAGGTATACAGATGGCAAATAAGCACAGGAAAAGATATTCAACATCATTAACCCTCAGGAAAATGCAAACTAAAAGCACAATGAGATTTCACTGTACACACCTATCAAAATGACTAAAATAGAACACAGTGATAACAAATGCTGGTATGTATGTATAGAAACGGTATCACTCACACTTTGCTCATGGGAATATAAAATGGTACAACCACTCTGAAAACAGTTTGGCAGTTTCCTTAAAAAGTATACAAAAAATTACCATACAATCCAGCTATTACACTCTTGGACACTTATTCCAGAGAAGTGAAAACTTACTTTCAGACAAAAAACTGTACACAAATGTTCATAACAATTTGATTCATAATAGCCAAAAACTGAAATTAGTCCAATTAATTATTTTAAATGAAATAAATTCTTTTTGCCGTCAATATCGTATTTAAAGTTAAACCAAGGGAGCAGAGGAAATGAATTCTTGAACTGTATTTTAATTCAGCTCTTGGCTTAACATGAACTTTATCTAAAATGCAATGCTGAAAATACAGGTAGTACCAAAAAAAAAAAAAAAAAGCTAGGCAGCTGACCACAATTGAAGGAAAGCACCCAATACATGGGCTACATCACAAATAAAAACAACACTCTGAATGTCACAGATTGAATCAGAAGGAACAATTCCCATTATGTAGTACACCAACTGTAGGTACAAGATAAGGAGGTCCAAAGAAACTAACAATTTCATATCTGAAAGTTATGTACATCATTAGATTAAACATTGTGCCCTCTACACTTACCTACTGACTTAGTCCTCATAACAGCGCTATAAGACAGGTATCATTATAAATCCCATTTGCAGCCGAAAAATATGATATACTTAGGCTGTGTGATTTGCCCAGAGTGCCATCCAGTGAAGAGGCAAAGTTTTGATTTGAACGCAGGTAATGCATCTCCAAAATCTATGTTCTTAACCACAGGATATGCTGACTTTAATAAGGTCCCTATATTACATCAATTTAGAAAGCAGGGGGAAAAGTCTCTAATATGAGGCGGTGTCCCCCCAGCACTTGCCCCTGCTGTGTCCACAGGTAGTATGTGCCATTTGCAAGCATCACTGTCTAGATAACTTTTTTCCCTCCCAAATGTATGCACTTAGCACTTAAGTAGCCCACATGACAAGTGTCCCTTTTACTATAGCTTTACACCAATTTTACTGTGTTACTGACATCATGAGAAAATTTTATGTTGAAAATACAAGTTAATTCAAGGAATCTGAATTAGGATAAATTAGTCTACACTAAACCTATATATATTAGTTTCATATTAACTAATTTCCTGTATGAAATTTACTTATTAAAAAATGTGTTTGTTTAATATTTACTATATCCCAAGCACTCTTCTGGGCAACCGAGAATACAATTAAGTTCCTACCTTCCAGAAGCTTAAATTCTTACTGAGAGGAAACAGACTAACAAAACATAATTTCAGATTTTTAAAAGAGCTTTATAGAAATAAACACAGTGATATAAAGAGTAGTGGTGTGGGGGGCCTTTGGAGTTGCTACTTTAGTTAGAATGGTATGAAATTACCATTTAAAGTCTTCTTTTTATATCATAGTATTCCTTTTGTTCTAATGGCATTCAAATTAAAGTTGTAATTATAGTTAATACAGAAATATTTACAATGTATTTATGGGAAGGTTATTC